GATATTTTGTTTCCTAAATTTTGTTTGTCGCATTTAATTATTTAACGTTTAGTTTTGACGACCAAGTAACGACTGTTCCGGTAAACATGTGGGTCCCAACAGAACAACGTAGAATACCCGCGGATTCCAACCATTTGAAATCCGCTCTTTAGTTGGTTTTATTACCGGCATTAACCGGTCCCATTTTTATCTAATTATGGGTCCCACCGAAACCCTTACTCGTTATAAGTAGGCCCTTAACTCTCTTCCCACCGTTTTCTCGCTAATCACAAACACAGCTTCGTTTTGCTCTTAATCTCGGAAAAACATTCCATTTTCAAAAAATTCTATTTTTTTTTTTTTTAGCTTGAAAGCAGGAATCAAATATACGATTTCCTTATTTAAATCTTCTCGAATTTTCCCTGCTTTTTTTTTTGTTTGTTTCTCTGGAAAATCCGGTCTTTGTTTTTCGCCGGAAAAGTTCGTCTTGTTGTTTGATTAAGACAAGGTTTGTTTTTGTTTTTGTTTTGTTTGAGATCATGTATGTACGTGTGTATAATCGATTTCACTGGTTCGATTACTAAGTTCTTGTTTTCGATTATAGTGTTTTTTTATCTGTTCTTGATTATTTTTTTTACAGGTTTTTAAAAATGGATATTTTCGACAACTCCGATCTTGAGTACCTCGTTGATGATTTTTACGGTGTATCTGATTTCGAAGACGATGAACCCTTTGGTGAGATTGATCTTAAGAGTGAAACTGATTCTGATTTCGAAGATGATTTTGAGACGGTAATAAACACTTTGTGTGTGTGTGTGTGGGATTTTAATGGAAGTGATGATGATTAAATCTAGTTCATGTTATTTCTTATAGAGTCAGAGTAAGATGGAGAGTGATACATCAGCTTTAGAAGCAAGGAATGGTAAAGATATTCAAGGGATTCCTTGGGAGAGATTGAATTACTCGAGAGATCAATACCGTGAAAAGAGATTGAATCAGTATAAAAACTTTGAGAGTCTCTTTCGATCCAGACAAGAGCTTGATAAGGTAACTTTAGATTTGAG